GTCATTGAACTTCCATCTTTCACCTTTTCGTGTTCTGAGATTAATTGACACTCGATTCCACGAATTTCCTGATAATCGTGCGCTCTTCGTAGCTGGAAAGTTAATGATCAGACAGTTCGTATCAGACAGAGAAAGAAAACACGTATTTTCAATAATGAGTGAAATATATCCGTCCTTTGATTTACACGATTTAAATAATCCCCAAAAATATCAATTTGCACGATCTGATCGATTATGAAATTTAATATGAAATATATCCGTCCTTTGATTTACACAATTTAAACAATCCCCGAAAATATCAATTTGCACGATCTGATCGATTATGAAATTTAATATAAAATTTATAATAAAAACGGTATATTAGGAAATATATTTTCTACAATCGTTATATCGAGTTAAATTTATAATTATTAATAACTAATTTCCTGACCTTCTTTAATTTAAATTATCAATCACCTTCAGTTCCAAATTATCGATTTATTTTGGTTTTCCCAAATCATCATCATCATCATCATCATCATTTGTGAGACGAATTTCATAATTTACACCAGCTTCCTCATAATCAATCTGCATAAATCGAGAGACCGGACATCAATACAAATTAATCATTTCTTACACAACGAATAGGAAATAAATCTTTCACTTCTCTGCCATTTCATCGATCAACTTTCCAGCCGTGCAATGATGCCTATCGTCAATCTATCAATCTGTCAATTCGATCGCGGATCGCCCGAACAAGCAACCTGTGCTCGGTGACTGAGGAACTTCGACTGCCGTGGAATTTCCATGGAACGAGACGCCGTGTCAGGCTTTTCCAACAACAGGTGATTGGCTTGACGATGTTCACACAGGTGGAGGTCCCCTAACGTATCGTAGCTGAGGGGTCAACGAGAAGTTCAACGTGTTGGTCGCCTCGCAGCAGTGTGGCTCGAGGAGACAGGCAGCGCAGAAGAGAGCGACCAGGGCCAACTGGAACGGCAGAGCTGCTCTCAGAATGCGCCAGACCCAGCTGTGGGGAAGATCTGGCTCGTTGTCGGGATCTCCTCCGTCCGTGGCTCCGTTTTTCGCTTGCACCGGCCTCACCACCAGCTTCGCACTCTCCTTCGACATCTCCGTGGCAACGGGCTTCTTGCGTTTGCTGTGCAGTGGACAGAAGAAACATCCAATTCTTTTTATTATCAGAAGAGAATTTAGATTGTTTATTGATTTAGGTACTTTTGCTTGCTATCGTCTTGTTGAGCAGAGTCGTGGCGTATGGAAGAGTTTAGTCTTTGGTTTGATAATGTTAAAATGTGCTGATTTCTTGCATTTGGCATACGCTGGCTGCAAGAAAAAGGAATCTCTTTTATTGTCAGAGGAGAGTTTGGCTCAGTTTTCATTAATTTTTTAAATTCATGTCTTTTGTATTGTTGAGGAGTCATGAAGCATGGAAGAGTTTAATCTTTGGTTTGATAAAGTTGTTAGAATGTGCTGATTTCTTGCAATTGCAATATGCTGAATGGAAGAAAATGGAATCTCTTTTATTGTCAGAGGAGAGTTTGGCTCAGTTTTCATTGATTTTTTAAATTCATGTCTTTTGTATTGTTGAGGAGTCATAAAGTATGGAAGAGTTTAATCTTTGGTTTGATAATGTTGTTAAAATGTGCTGATTTCTTACAATTGCAATATGTTGAATGGAAGAAAATGGAATCTCTTTTATTGTCACAGGAGAATTTGGCTCAGTTTTCATTAATTTATTTAATTCATGTTTTTTGTTTTATTTTATTTATTCATGAGGAGTTATGAAGCATGGAAGAGTTTAGTCTTTGGTTTGATAAAGTTGTTAGAATGTGCTGATTTCTTGCAATTGCAATATGTTGAATGGAAAAAAAAAGAATCTTTTTTATTGTCAGAGTAGACTTTCATTAATTTTTTTAATTCATGTCTTTTATCTTATTGAGGAGTCATCGAGTATAGAAGGGTTTAATCTTTGGTTTGATAAAGTTGTTAAAATGTGCTGATTTCTTACAATTGCAATATACTGAATGGAAGAAAATGGAATCTCTTTTATTGTCAGAGGAGAATTTGGCTCAGTTTTCATTAATTTTTTAAATTCATGTCTTTTGTCTTATTGAGGAGTTATGAAGCATGGAAGAGTTTAATCTTTGGTTTGATAAAGTTGTTAAAATGTGCTGATTTCTTGCAATTGCAATATGCTGAATGGAAGAAAATGGAATCTCTTTTATTATCAGAGGACTATTAGCTCGTTTTTTGATGGATTGTTTTAATTTATGTTTCCATTTTATTGAAAAATCGTGAAATTTGGAAGGTTTGATTGATAGTTTCTTGTTCTTGGTACACAGTGGATAGAGGAAACATTCGATTATTTTCATTATCAGAGGAAAGTTTGGATGTGAATCTGTTAGCTTCTTAAAATCGTTTCTATTATCAGAGGAGAGTTTGGTTCGTTTTTTTTTTTTTTTTTTTTTT